AGGAATGCAAGCACAGGTGAGACAAGTTCATGAGAATAAAGCAGCGGGTTAAAAAAAAAAGAACCCAGGGAAAAAAATGAACAGCCATAGTTATAGTTGGCAAAGGTGGAGAAAAATCACAATACAGTCATAAGACATCTGTGCTTCTCTTGCCTATTTATCTGGATCAGTTCTTCGATATTTGTTAAAGTCACTGAAAATTGAAGAGGTTCAACATACTTGCAGGGATAACTGTCAGGAATCCAGCCATGCCTGTGAGGAAACTGTGTGTTCCAGTGTTGGCAGGTGCTTCCCGATTCAGTGACAGCTATTCTACCCCGATAGTCTTCTCCATTACCTGAAAGACACTGGGAACTGGATCCAGAAACTGGAGGGCGTGTAGCTGTACCTGGAGTTTAAAAAAAAAAAAAAAGCAGTGCTTTTAAATATATGTATTTTTAAAATTACCTTTTTCTTTCTGCAGAGGTGACATTAGTGAAAGCCAGGGCAAAGCCAATGTGCACATTTTCATGTCTGGTGTCTGCCCTTTTACAGCAGTTCGTAAACAACATTAATAATAATAATAATAAGAAGAAGAAGAAATAAGATAAGGCCCAAGAAAAAGCTGTGAGAGAAAACACAGCAGTCTTTGGAGCAAAGGTTCCAGAGAAGGTGAACTAACAGAGGGACAGAATGAAAGCAAGCCAATTGATATGGTTGCACAAAGTAACAGCCATGATCAGAATCACAGAATCTGGAGAGATCAAAGGGAAAATGAACGTACTTTACATATGTATTAAACATACATCATATCTGTACTTTCTTGAGGACAGAAATATGAGTCTAAATGGTCATTTTGTTCCATAAACTTTCTGCAAGCTTTAATCTCTTGCACAATTTTCCTTATCATCGCAAAGTCTATGAACAGTCATTCTTCCATCTGTAAATGAGCATGCTGAATTGAACTAAATTTAGCAAAAACTTCTTATTTTTAGAGAACTGGACAGACCAGATGCATGAGAAAGCAAACTGTAGAGATACAAGCACAAGATTTTTTTCTCAGTTTGGCACAGTTCTGCATATGGCGATGCTAAACTCATTATTGAGGCCTTGGAAATGTCCAGATCTAGTGTATTCGGTTTAGTGGATTAAGGATTTCTCCTGACACTTGAATTTGTTTTGTAAGGTTCACCCCCCTCTAAGAAAAGTGAGAGCATTTGTCCTGTGTTAGCCAACACCAAGTAAAAATACACAATGTGCTGATAATATTTGAGTTTCCCACTGGTCAGGTGAAAACTATAGCCTGAGGCTAAAGCTGAATGACATGCTTCTAGGGTTAATTGAAAAATAAAGTTGTTGAAGACAAAATACTGCTTCATAACTTCTGTGGCAATGTGGTGTGTTATGGCCCCTGTATCCTCTCTGAACCTACATGATTTAATGTAACAGAAAATTAGTGGATGATGCTGCTTATTGATATACACCTTCCCTGGTTCACAAGGATTTCCTCGGGATACTTGGAGCTGTGATTTTTGTCTTTCTCTTCCCTGTATCATTTTGATGATATCCTATGGTGTGATTGCTAAAAGTCAGACTCACTGCAGCGAGGAATGTCACAGTGTTCCCAGCGTTTAGTGGGGCTGGTAGTGAAGCACCAGGGACGAAGGTCACCATCAGGATTACGACAAAAATTCATCTTCAGATCCTTCTCTGGAAAACTGAATATTAAAATGCAGGTGAAGCTTGTGAGTCAGTTATGGTTGCCTGTAGCAGTCGAGCTGTCTGCAGGCAGAGTCTCCCAAGCACTGTGAGGTTGAGAGGGACAATTCAGCACTGACTGTGACTCACTTTTCAGGAAGAAATCCATGCATATGTGGCTCTTGGGTATCCCAGTGTTGGCAATGAAACCCAGACTCTGTTCTGGACACTTTTCCATGGTAGTCTTCACCATTACACTGCATGCACTCCCCTGTAGGGCCAAGGCAGAAGGAAGAAAAACATTGAGTTGGGATCAGCCTTTGAAATTGATCCTGATCCATCAATAACAGAGAACATTAGAAGGCAAACAAAATTACGAAAGGAATCCAGAAGTCAATGTCAATAACAATTATCCAATAACCTAAACACTTGAATGAATCTGTAGGAATACAAATCATTTGCAGGGAGGACTTTGTCACACATCTGTATGAACTGCTGGCAGTAAGGATTCTGAATTTAACTCAGCATTGGGTTAATCTTTATTCTTGCCAAAATTAAAACATTTGTTAGAGTGCAGAGGAGGACATTATCTGCAAAAGATTAAGACTCTTAATTTCCTCTGGGTTTACAAAATCACTTTTTAGGAAAACAACCTTTGTGTTGGCAATTTCTTAATTTCCAACTTGACCTAAATTCACATTTCAATTAAGAAGAAAACATGAATAATAACGTCTACTTGAATACACCTTCCCTGAAATATAAATATACCTTCTCCGCTGTGCTTGTCCTGACTTTCACACTCTGGGATATTGCAGTAATCAAATCTGATAGTGGGGTCTGTTGTATAACACCAAGGTCCATTTTCATCCATATCAGGATTTCTACAGTAGTTTTCCTCCAATCCTGCATGGGGGTGTTTTCGAGGTGTAAAACTGTAAGAGAATTAAAATGGCAAGAAATTGTGAGGGAAATGTCCAATTTCCTCAGCTAACTTTGGCCTTTTAGTGTGAAGTCATTCACAGTAAAAATGAGAGAAACATATTCCCTTTTGTAACCCATAAATGAAAACTAAACGCCATTCTGTAAGTTAGTTCTAAGTGCCTTTCGTAGCAGGCTCTATACAGCAAAATAAAATAACTTTTCAAACAGTTAAAACCCACACAGATCGGATAAAACAGAAACAGAAAGGGGTCATTGTCCAGTTTTCCTCTTTTCCCCAGAGCCCTTGCAGACTAGCCCCCTGCTTCCACACTTGTTTCTGCCAGCTCAGTAGCAGCCAACCCCGAAAATCCCCATGCCAAGGTCCCTCATAGCCATTAATGCTTTGGGTGGATGTTCTTGACTCTTTCTGGAAGGCAGCAAGGGGTCATAGAGCTGGACAAGTACCATTACTCTTTCACTTGCCCTGTTTTATGCTCATATAGAAGAAATGAATTCTTGTCCTACAATCAGCAGTGGCAAAATTTGCAACTCATTTTGATGAAATAAGCATTTCACATTCTTAGGAGGCCCAGCATTAAGCACAACTTCTGTATTTGAACATACACCCTTCTTTTTTATCCAGTGCATTGCAGTTCTCTGCCAGCAGAGTCAAGGGTAACAACAGGAGAGCTTAAAAGCCACCTGAACACGATAACTTGCTTTGATAACAGACACTACAATGTTTTTATGCACTGAATAGGGACAGCTTGGAAAAGATTCAGAACAACATAAGCACAAATATAAATAAGGCCATACTTTGGTCTGTGAGGTACTTTGTCAGCCCACTTCTGGCATGGAATACCCCTCTGAGTTTTGGCTTCTGTTCCTCTGTAGTCTTTCCCATTTCCTCTTTTACATTGTAGGAGGTAAACTGCAAGGGAATTGTTTCTGTTGCTTCAACAGTGTTACAACATTGGAGCAGAACATTTACAGATTCAACCACAAAGCTTGTCAGTTTAGACACATTAGCCCATGTTTTGATTTTGTGGTATATGCAAATGCAGAGATATGAGTCTATAAATTATTTAAAACCAAATTCATTAGCAACTACTAAGGAACTCCAGAGGAAAGTTTCTGAAGTATTTTTATAAAGGTAATAAAACTAGGATCAAGTTAAGGAAATATATATAATAAGTTATAGTTTTTTTGACTATGCATGTTTATGATATGCATGTTTATATTATCATATTAATGGAAAAAAAGGAAGGTCTTTCACCAACGGTTGGAGATGCCTTGAAGTGTGTTGTTCATAAGCACATCTGTAGCGTGGATATTTTGCAACTATCTTTTCAAGCCACAGACTTTGTACACAGACTATGTTTTGTGCATATCTTTTTCATCCTTCAGACTGTGGCAGTACCTGTTGAAGGTCAGCCTGTCTGGCTACTGCACTGCTAACTTAGCAGCTTTCTCAATGGTGTTGAGAGCTGCTAAATATTAAGGAGACTTGACTTCCGCTCACTCTGCAGTCAGAGCTGAAGGGAGCCAGCCCCTGCTCTTAAAATGTCAGGAAAGGTCTTCCAGTCATTTAAAGTGACCACTAATTCTGCAGTAGGGTTGCAGACAAAGATGCCTGCTCAGAGAGTTTTTGATAAAAATCACTAGTAGTCATTTTGCTTTTTAAACCAGGAAGATTCCAAGAAAGCTTAACGCATGTAACTGTGTAGCATCATACTACATACATACTTTTCTTCTCATAAAGAACTGCATCTGTGCTGTTGAACATCAATGTTGTTTTGCTGTTTTCAGCCAATGTTAAACACTGTTGCTTTATTCTCGTGAATAGGAAGGCTCTGTTGAAATTGAGAAGACATGAAGCAATGTTATTAAATCAGCTCGTATTATTCAATTTGTAATTAATTTTCTGTAAACTATATATTTTTTCTAGCACTTCTCTGTATCCACTTAGATCTGAGAATACTACTCTTTAGAGATACTCAATAACATTTTCTATTGGTCTGAAGCGGCTGGCTTTGTCAGGAGGAATGACTACATGACCAGGGTACTGAGTGGGAAGCTAGGTATCGAATTTATCCACAGCTGTCTAGTATAGAGATAGCACCTTTCTCTACAGCAAATTAAAAACACAGCCACACCCAGCTAAAGACATGCGAGCAACTTTCCATATAGCATTATATGAGAACAGAAACTTGGACATTACTATAGAGTGATTAATACACCTGTAAGTCCATCCTCTAGTTGACGTAGTGACAGTTTACAGGAAGAAATAGTAAGATAGACAGAAATAAGCATAGGCAAAGCTGTTGCAGGCAGGGCTACCCCGGCTCACTGGCCGTCTCTCCTCTGAAGAAGAAGGAGCTTTCTCAGCTGGCACCTGGGGGATAGTGCCCTGTGTCCCCCAGGTGTATGGACTTGCTTTACCCAAATGTGTTCATGTAAAAACTGTGTGAACCTCTCATCCTCATTTCTGAGCAGCATGTTCCTTAGTGAGATGTATAGAGCAGAAGGGCTGAGAAACTTCAATACTAGCATGTTACACTGTTTCCTGAGGGGAATGAAGGAAAAAAAAAAAAAAGAAAAGTGTGCCACTTCCCAACAGGTGCTGAAATTAAAAAGAGTTTACTGGATTACTTCTTCCATATCTTCTCTTCTATATCTTCTCTTTTTTATATTTTATCTTCTCGTATATTCCAGCAATTCACCTTCTTTTTTTTCTCCTTCCAAAATTTAAGGTGTGTTTACTTCTGAGCAATAGTAGGAAAATGTCATTGATCAGATATTTAGTCACCCACAATGACATGGCCTGTGATTTTAAAGGAAATTACCTGCAATTAAAACTTCTTTCATCTTCACATTTCTCTGCACATTCTCTTTCACTATTTGTTGTATAAGACTGCTTATTTCGAGTAAGTATCCAAACACCATCTGTTCTTAAATAGTCATCTAGTATACCTCCTTTCACTACAAAGGAAGAAAAGAAAGCAAACATTAAAAATGAAAGTGTTGCAGTTAAATTGATCTGTGACTTTAAATTCCGTTTTCCATGTAGCATTGACAAGTGAAGCCACCATTTATTTTATGCACTTCTGGGTAAATGGTGATAAAATCTGAGAAAATTTCAGTTTCCTGGCACAGTCGCAGCTACATCACTGCACCGCCTGATAGCAAGAAAAAAATGAGAGAGAGATGCAGAGAAGTAGCTCTGACTGGAGTTATGTATGGGTTTGAAGCAGAGAAAAAGAAATGTGAACTACAGCAACCTCCCAAAGCTCTTGGAGGTAGTGTGCTTTCATACAGTAAGCAACAGTGGATAGAGGGACTTTGTATCAAAGAAAACAGCAGAGAGTGAAGCATGAGAAATGATATCAATGTTAAAGATTTGGAGAGATGTGAGCTGTGAGAATGTGAGCTTGTGACCTCCCATATCGAATGTATAGTCTCTACAGTTTTACTGGTCATGGGATGGTTTGATTGTCCTCAGTTGTCCTGCACTGGAGCAGGAAATGTCATCACAAGATGACCGCATAATCTTTTACAATGACCACTGTTACATTTGCTACACACACTTAACAATAAATCTATCCAGTTGTATCACAGTTGCAAATCATGCAACATCATTTCAGTGAGATGCCCATGAAACAGAAGCTTCCTTGCAGTTCCTATATCCACACAACACCTAAAAGGCCACCAGAGAAGGCAAGATCATTAATAGCTTGAGGGGAATCTTCTGTGACTGTTAGCAGATATTGCTCAGTGCTATAAGAATACATACCTAAAGAAATGCTTGACACAAGGCCCTCCATTATCTAATTTTACCTATGGGCCATATGGAGCACCAGCAGCCCATCTCCTGATTGACTCAGCAGACAAGTGTTTCCTCTCCTAGCCTTTTTCCCAAGTTACCTGGGGCCATTACTACAGGGGACCAGACTAGGAAAATATTACTTTCTAAGTTTTTCTTCGGTCATCATAAATGCTGTCCAAAGACTTCCCTTTGGAATACCATTCCATTTCAGTGACCACAAGGAATATTTATTTAGTTGGTTTATGAACACATGAGACTTTGGACAACATGCGTAAGACAAACTGCATCACAGACTGGCAGGAGCTTAGAGAACAGAAAAGAAAATGTGATATAAATTATCTTAAAATAACTACAAAAATATAAATGAAAAAGAATAAAAAGAATTTCAAAATGCAAAAGAGAATGAATTATTTTAGTCAAATATATATAGATGTATATTCTTCTCCATTTAAACATACATAAATAAATACAAGTCTTTATAAAGCCACACATGATGCATAAAAGTTAAACAGAATATCCATATATATGAATGAAAGCCAATTTGTTCTTTTACATATGTATCTCTTTGGAATTGATCAGTACTAAACAAGAAGATATAAAATATGTTTTTAATACAGTTTAGTGGTCCATTACTTCGGAGAAAGTTAGTTAGAGCTGGTATCAATGAATAAATACAAATAACTATACTGGCTGTGTTTTATAACCCAATGATCATACAATGATACACCCTTCTTGTTCTATGTCATATTATATCACTAAACTATTATGAAATTATACCAATTGTGTTCATATGTCTGCAATAGTATTTTCAAAAGGCATTTAAGCACTGTATAATCATATGCAGTGTTAAAGTACCAGCAGAATCCGATATCAGATTGAAATCTAATATGCACTACACAAGAAATATTTATTTATAGAGTTTGTAGATGTTCTTGAAAACAATATGTTTTCTTTAGAGGGCCTCTTATCTTCTCAGGGAATTGTAAAATGTAGTCTCAACTTTCCCATGGAAAAGCTGATCTAGGTTACTGAAGACTAAATTTTCACCTACTGCCCCCAAGAAAACAGGAGGAAAAGGTTTGGCAATGGAAAATGTGAAATTTATGAAATTGATGGAATATAAAGGGATTTTTTTTAAAAAAGAAAAAATCATTTTAAAGACCACATTTTAAAATTTGCAAATCTCTACCATAATGTATAATGCACCAAAACCAGGTTCACAGGGCTTAACAGCCACTCTTGCTGGCAGCCACCTTGACATCCAGTGGCATGCGGTTACGTGCGGACACATGGATTTTGGGACCTACCTTTATAATGTGGAGCTTACGAGTGTTGGGTTGCCATCTCCTCTACTCAAGTGAAAGGTAAAGGACTCTTACCTGAGCCAAGCAGGAGAAGAAAAAAGAAGGCAGTTCTGCTAATCCCCATTCTGGCGTAGCTGGGGGGTGCTGGAAGACGCGTGTGCCAATGCACAAAGTTTTATTGACTTGTGCTGGAGTGAGGCAGCATCAAACAAACAAGGCACTTGGGTTAAGTTAATCATTCTCCCACTCTGTGACCGCCTTTGCCTTCATATGGGTGTTCAAACAACCTTGAATTGGATATATTATCAAATAAGAGTCAGTCTTTTGTACTGGATGCCTGGAAATGAGGAAGGACGCTCTCGTGTTGCTGGCCGTGGTTTCCAAGATGACCAGCAGCTTTCATGTGTGAGGCCTGCACATGCCACCGCCCTGACACCGTTAGGTGGCCTGGGAGCTCAGCTCGCGCCTCCACACTGCGCTGTGCCCTCCAGAGACAGCAGCTCGCTCCTCAACGACCCACTAACTCAGGAAATTACACACGAGTGCTATTTGCTAGGGCTGGTGCGCCTCCAGCAACACCTTTCATTGCAAAGAGCAAAGCGACTCTCTGAGCATGCGCTCAGATGGTTTCTTGAGCAAAGCAGGACATGGACAGCACTCGCTGCCTTGTGCTTTTGGTGGCACTAATGTGTTATGAATATACTTCCTTGTCACATTTCCTATATTCTTTATCCTGATTCTCATCCAATTTGCAAAAGTATCTCTGAAGGAAAGGCTGAGTAAGAAATTAAATTTATCTGCAAAGAAAGAAATACCTACATTAGCGTCCAATATACATGACATCTTCAGTCTTGTTTTTGCTGTGCATCTCTGACCAAAAGGAACTATGGTAGTCAAAATTCCCTATGCTATCTATTAAATCAGCAGAAAAAGGCGGGGGGGGGGGCGGGGGAATAAGTTTTCTATCAGAGAAAATATGTGCACAAAACATAGCTGGATTAGGATATTAGGAAGACTTTTTCCTGATTACAGATACACAAAAGTTACACCAAAACTTCTAAGCATAATGTATCACAACACCTTCAATTTGATACCTCTTTTGAAAAAAGTCCATCTTGATATCCCGTGAAGATGCGCAGGGCCTATGTTGGGAAGAAGAAAGATTAGGATTGGGACCTTTTTGCAGGTGAGGAGGACCTGAGAGATCTGGATTTTTCCCTGCATGGGGGTGGCAGGGAATACAGGAGAGATGTGAGATCAGCAGAGTTGCAGGTGAAAGGGATATAAATCCATGCAGAGTAAAGCCTGGCTTATTCTGCCACCAACAGCACTGCTTGCTTTGCTGTCAGACAGCAATGTGCCATAAAGTGTAGATGCAGGAGTGCTGCCTGAAACCACTCTAAATCTGCTGATAGCGTGGAAAAATCCTCTCTTTTGTCTCTTGGACAATCAAAGGTAGAGAGATCACATGCATGTTTTCTAATATAAACCGTGGAGATTACATCTTTGTATCCTCCAATCTTACCTGAATTTCTTTGGCAATTTCTGGAAAATGTGCCATTCTGGTAATGTCCAGAAGGGTGCAGCAGATCGTACTTTTCAGCCAAAGTAGGTGACACTACACCCAGCATAAGCGAAGGTGTCACTAGCCACTTCTGATCTGTAGGCAGATGTTTGTTCAGGAGCGTGGATGATTCCAAAGTGCTTTATTATTTCCTTGCCCAGCTCGCAGTACAAGTTTATAAGGAAATTTATCTTAAGCAAATGTGTTCTTCTTTTCTTTCTCCCTTGCCTTGCCTTCCTTTTCCTTATGGCCACTACTGCAGTCCACACTAACCACTCAATTATTTCACCTCAGTTGTATTACTCTCTCTGTTGGTGAGCTGCAGTCCAGTGCTGTAGATTCAGCTGTTTTTCTTTAAAGAAAGAAAAAAAAAATCATTCTTTTCCAAACTGTACTGCAGTCCAGTGCTGTAGGTTCAGCTGTTTTTCTTTAAAGAAAAAAAAATCATTCTTTTCCAAACTGTCCTGGGAACACTCAGAAATCTCCTTTCTGAGGATTTCTTCAGTACAAGCCTACAAGTAATGTCATTATACTCAACTGACAGTTCCTCCTCCCTGGGCACACTGGGAACAGTTGGTTTGCCCCTGCTTTTCACAACATAATTGCAACTTGTAAAGTTTCCTTACTTTGACAGTTCGGTTGTTTTTAACAGAAATGCCCCCCAGCTATGACAAGAAATCTTCCAAATCAGACTTGTTTAGGCCTGCCAGTTCTCCAGCAGCTGGTGAGGCAGAATTTCTGCCCCCTAGGCCCTACCAAACTGGGTCTCTGGCTCCACTGCAGCTGCTGTTCTCCTGCTTCAGGCTCTAATCCAGCTAGCCTCTCACTATGATTATCACAGGGCTTAGCAGCAGGTTTCCACACGGTTCTTACTGAAAGCTCTTTATTTGGAATAGTCAGCCGCTGAATTATCAGATTGTTAAAAGCTTTCAAAAAATATCTTGATCTAAATGAATTTGCCAAAGAAGAGACTGATAGTCCTTTTAAAACATAATCTACCCTGTATGATGTTCCCCCATAATGGCACACTGTTAAAGCCCATCTAAAGGACAGAGAGCTCTAATGAAGCATGTTCAGGGGAATGACTCCTCCAGAAGCTGTCAGAAATAGCTCCTTGTCCATGGCTAACTGCTCACAGGTTGGAAGGTCTCTACAGGTTGCTCTCTGTGGGGAAGTTTTGAGACAGGGGCCTCGAATCCCTTTCTTTCTGCCATTGTTTGCCCCCATGTCTTTTTCCTCCCATAGATGGCTGTATCAGTTCAACTGTCTAATTTGAAATGCACTGCATACCCTCAAAGTGTGAATTTGTGCCCTTTATTATGTAGGAGAGCTGCCAAAAGATCCACAGAAAGCAGCTAGTCCATCTCCATTCCTTCAAACAGAATCAACTCTACCATGTCCCTCCTGACTGCTGCTTGAGCAAACAGCCATAAAACCTTCTGTGATGGAGCCCCCAGACCATCCTCAGGAAAGTAGATAACTTGCAGTAAAGTATCCTTACACTAAAGGTTTTCCTGATGTCTAACATACTTTTTTTTTTTTTAACTGTAATTTATTTCCCTTGTTAGAGTTTGACAAACTACTAAGTAGAATAACAGAATTGTAAAAATAACCCAAGATAGTAAAAATCTCGTGGAATATACTCTCCATGAATAGATTATGTTTACATAACTAATATAATGACAGGGTTTTTAGAAATGCATTCAGACAACACTTAACATGAGGTTTGAACTGCATGAAGAATACCTCAAGCAAAACACATATAACTAATACATACAGGATATTCCTGATAAATTTCAATATTGCTAAAGCAAGTATGTATAAGACAGCAATGTTTCAAGCTACTCTACATATTTGCAAGTGAATGTCTAGAGTTGACATTACTGAGAAGACTAAGATCTCTTATTGCGCTCTACAGAGTCATAGTTTTACAACCACTTCCATGTTATGAGGTTCCACTTTTCCAGTAGTGTGTTTGCTAGACAAGGCTATTTCTTATCAGAACAGCATTAAGACACAGGCAAGGCCAGATGGGCTGCACCTCTGCTGTTTCCGATGTCACACATGTGTTTTTAGGTGGTCCTACAGTACCTTCATTGTAGCTGTGCCAAAGTTAGACCTCCTGGTAGACTGTATCTGCTCTGAAATATCTCAGACGATAATTACTCTCTTGGTAGACTAAACCTTGGGCTAAAAGTACTATTTCATGTCTTTCTCTCCAGAAAATCTGCCTCAGGAGCAGAATGGAAAATTTACATAAAAAGAACAGATCAGTAATTATAATTTGATTAGTTATCTATTGAATTGTTTCAACTGATGCTATAAACTGCCTGCACTACTGAAGAATGAATGTACTAGCGCAAAATGAAACACTAACATACCCATATTGAGGATTCATATGGCATGATAAGAAGTGGTTTGTTTCTTTTCCTCTGTTGCATCTCAAATTATCATCAAGCTGTTAGAGGGATAAAGCTTTCATTATCTGCATTATGGAATAAATCCTTTCCAATTAGGGGAAAAAATATATTTAGGCTGGAACTTACCTGAACAAAGCATCTAATGCCATTAGACTTCCTAAGGAACACTGCCTGGAATCCAGCTGCCACATCAGAAAGGATTGTTTCTCCCTCGAATCCTGCAATATTTATGCCAGGCTTATTCACAAGTCTAAAAAAACCAAAGACCTCTAAAATGACATTAGCCGTCCATTTGTAGGCAGCAAAATTCCACCTATAACATTTATACATTGAAGTAAGGCAGGTACTAAGGATCTGGTATAATTTTTTATTTGCACTTTATTGGATTTTCAGCAACAACACTTAAGAGATCAGAAGACTTGAATCAGTCTGCCCTATGAAAAAGTTTTAACTTGAGTCTTTTGTATTTTACCACAGCATGTGTATTCCTGTGTTGAGAGGGTTGTGAATTTGCCATGCACAAAGAAGAAAAAATAAATTCTCTTTCCACCATTTGTATTCAAAACCCTGGGAAAACCCCGTCTAAAGGTGATT